GTTAAGCCGCAACACCGGTTACGTCACTTGCCCACCGCGGCACCGACCCCCACCGTTGTTTAGAATTTTTTTTTATAGTAATAAAAATCATTTAGTTCAGTAAAAGAACAGACACTACAATTAAAAACTGAAAGTGGCTGCTCAATGTAACGTGCCGAACGACAGCATCACAGATCAGATTTCATTTCTCCAGTGAGGAGAGTGAGTCGAGCTGACTGACCAGAAGAGTGAGGTGAGACAGACAAGACGATCGCGGATGATTCAGTTTCGAAACTAGATGCAAAAGCGCCTGTTTGGCAATATTTGGGATTTTGAAAAGCCTGTTGACTTTTGCCGTTTATCTAAGGTGATTTTGGAAGTTTTTTTAAACATTCGTTTCTTATTTAATTGGTTCCACATTGTTTGCTGATTTTTACTTTAAACTGTGTGTCATTTATTTATTTTATTTGACATTCGTTTTCTCATTTATTTGGTTATATATTATACATGTTTACTTCACTGTAAAACCGAATAGTGAAATTAATTAAATTAAATGAGTTAACCACTCAAATAATAATGAAAGTTAATTGGACTTAATTGAAATAAGTTCAGTAAATGTTGTTGTAATAAGGTGAACTTAAAATGATTGCGTTTTCTAGATCCCAGCATGCTCTGCATCAGACAACAAGGAAAATAAATGTAGAAATTAAGTGTTATTTTGTGTGTTTTTACACAAGATTAACATAGAGAGACATAAATTAGTACTTAAATGTTGTGTTATGTTAGGATTTACATAGGTTTCTGTTATGTTGGTTTTGTAGTGTTACCGTTGTGGTGAAGAGTAGAGCCTGTGGTTAGGTTGAGGATGGACAGCAAAACTTAAAGACCATTTATACTGCATGTTGTTTGATTATTTACATGCACGTATTGTGAGTCTTTTTGATAACTACATTAGTGTGCTGTTGCTAACTAGCACTTAAAGGTATCATATGATGCGATTTCAAGTTTTCCTTTCTCTTTGGAGTGTTACAAGCTGATTGTGCATAGATAAGATCCCTGAAGTTGCAAAGACTAAAGTCTCAAAACCAAAGAGATATTCTTTATCAAAGTTAAGACTCTGCCACGCCCCCCTAAAACGGCATCAGAACCCTACTTCCTGCATCTTCAAATGGAATATGTATATAGGGTATATTTTGAATTTTATTTTATGTGTATATATGTTTTTGTGTGTGTATTCCCTTGTAGACTACAGCAAAGTCCATTTAGGCATAATCCATGTAACCCAAATCTGTTTTAAGAATAAACATGTTCAAAACTATATTATAATTGGATATTGAATATTACCAAAATTGCCTACACAACCAGAAGCATAAACAGGGGTGAACCACATGACCATCTCAGTATATTGTGCATGTGTGCTTCTAGTTATTTTTTCTGTCTTCGTTTCCTCTTAGATGTGGATTTTTTTTAAATCAAACCCCCATAGAGCAGCCCTTTCCCACTGATTTAAAACAAGCAGCACGATCTCCACCAGGTGGCATTTCTACTGTCACATTTGAACCCATAGCACCAACCTTTCCGGCCTGGTTTCATTTCACCTTCCTGGTCCATCCAGTATTCCCGGATATCAATCAGCACTTTTCCCTTGAAATCCCGAACACTCACATACCTCATCTTTCCTATCTTAAAAAAAAGAGAAAACAATACAATCCAATTTATATAATACACACCTACACTATACATACATCAATGGTGAATGGTGGTGTTATGAAATGAGGAGGCAAAGTGCTCAAAGTTTCTTTTTTCTTTTTTTAATCAAATGTAAATTCATGCCCAGTCACATTTTCTAGGTTAAAACTCAATGAGCTCAGGGGAGGCGAGAGAGATGCGAACTCCCACTCTAACTTTACATGCTGGTGTCGCTGTTGGACACTATTTCTTTAGAAAAACTAGTGATTTATACACTTTTTACATTTTATATTTTGTATTATTGGTGTTGTTCCATTTACAAATGTATTTTCTCATTCAATATTTTGAGGAGGCACTGCCCCTCCCTTGCCTCCTTGGAGGAAATGCCCGACACACACACACACACACACACACACACACATACATACTGTATGTATATATATATATATATATATATTGTCATAGCATTCTTCACCTGGAACATATTGTCATTTTTGCTGCTGCTGCTGCTGCTGCTTTTGGACGCAGATGACACTTTTGAGGTTTCTCCACTTTTTTGTTTCTTTGATGGCTTCTCAGGTGTTGCCTGCTTCTTTCGCTTGGCCTGAATTTCAGAATTTGACATTGAATACAAAGCATGTAACATTGGAACAGTGGATTTTGCATGATAGTTGTATTGTTCTGGCAACACAAAACTGTTGGTTATTCTCAAAATTGCCTACACAACCAGAAGCATAAACAGGGGTGAACCACATGACCATCTCAGTATATTGTGCATGTGTGCTTCTAGTTATTTTTTCTGTCTTCGTTTCCTCTTAGATGTGGATTTTTAAAAAATCAAACCCCCATAGAGCAGCCCTTTCCCACTGATTTAAAACAAGCAGCACGATCTCCACCAGGTGGCATTCCTACCGTCACATTTGAACCTATAGCACCAACCTTTCCGGCCTGGTTTCATTTCACCTTCCTGGTCCATCCAGTATTCCCGGATATCAATCAGCACTTTTCCCTTGAAATCCCGAACACTCACATACCTCATCTTTCCTATCTTAAAAAAAGAGAAAACAATACAATCCCATTTATATAATACACACCTACACTATACATACATCAATGGTGAATGGTGGTGTTATGAAATGAGGAGGCAAAGTGCTCAAAGTTTCTTTTTTCTTTTTTTAAATCAAATGTAAATTCATGCCCAGTCACATTTTCTAGGTTAAAACTCAATGAGCTCAGGGGAGGCGAGAGAGATGCGAACTCCCACTCTAACTTTACATGCTGGTGTCGCTGTTGGACACTATTTCTTTAGAAAAACTAGTGATTTATACACTTTTTAAATTTTATATTTTGTATTATTGGTGTTGTTCCATTTACAAATGTATTTTCTCATTCAATATTTTGAGGAGGCACTGCCCCTCCCTTGCCTCCTTGGAGGAAATGCCCCTGACACACACACACACACACACATACATACTGTATGTATATGTATGTATATATATATATATATATTGTCATAGCATTCTTCACCTGGAACATATTGTCATTTTTGCTGCTGCTGCTGCTGCTGCTTTTGGACGCAGATGACACTTTTGAGGTTTCTCCACTTTTTTGTTTCTTTGATGGCTTCTCAGGTGTTGCCTGCTTCTTTCGCTTGGCCTGAATTTCAGAATTTGACATTGAATACAAAGCATGTAACATTGGAACAGTGGATTTTGCATGATAGTTGTATTGTTCTGGCAACACAAAACTGTTGGTTATTCTCAATTAATGTACAAATTTGAGATGTAAATACTCTTGGATGTGATGTGCTTTTCTTTCAATTAGCTAAAAGTGTAATGTGAGGTTATTATACCTTCGTATCAACTTCACTGTCAGAGTCACTCTCTGAGTTAGAAGACAACATTTCCTTTGACTTTGGCATTCTGAAAAGGACAACAATGCTATTTAAATGGAAAACAAAAAATACAATTGTGAAAAGCATATGTCCCATTTAAGCTAATGCATTTAGGGCTACGTTGCTTGAAGCTAATTATGAAACAAAAATATTCCAAATCTGCGTGCAGGTAACAACTTAATGGTTGCATCCTGGTGCTTTGCAATGATGCTCTAGCATACAAGTGTTTGCAAAAAAACCCATTTGCTTTCCAAAGAAGCAATGCTTGCACTTTAACTTGTTGCGTTTTCCTTGTATTAAACAGAAAAGAATCAATGGCGTCCCTCGTTTATAACTAACGTTACTATAAGAACCAACAAGGCCGCACGCGCAGCAAGATGGCCATTTGGCAACAGATTTTTTTCAATGAAACAATCTGTTATTGCAACATGTCTGCTAATATTATAGTCGTGCTCTAAAATTATAAACTGCTGCATGTATCAAATGACTTACGTGATGTCGTTAGGTAAATGTAGGATAAACCGAGTTTAAACAGAAGCTTATTCGATGCGCGCGAACGTCCGTTTCAGTGAAGCCTATGTGGAACCGCCCTTGAAGAACTGGATTATGGGAAGTGTAGTTTTGCGTATTAATTATCAGCGCTTAAATTAAACAGCTAAACTAAACAGCTGCATTTACGTTATGGCTATTGTCAGCTATTATGGAAGTTGTATTGCTGTTGCTTTTATATAATAATTGTTGATATAAAATTATTGAAATTAATAAGTTAAATGGTTACACAAGTAGCTATATAGGCCTATAGAAAGTAATGTGATTTGCTCTCTTGAAACTGCAGAAAGACAAGTTGCTAATTTGAATCCTTAAATCCTTCACTGATAACATCCTCTAAAAATGTCGGCTTTATAGATGCATAAATATGTACTAAAAATGTAATTAGATATTAGAATTAAAAACATGAATAATTTGAATAAATTGTGAACTGTGTAAATTTCCACAGTTGTGCTGTGTATATCCTGAAACTGCCTCGCAGTTTGAGAACCACAGAACCGAATATTAAACAAAAGAAACACAACACTGATGAGAAAGATACTTTTATAATGCTTTATTCATTCAACAGCAAGAAGAAAAGAAAGTATAATCAAGCTTTTAGTTTTCTGTTAATAATGACTGATTACTTTGAAGAAAAAATTAACCTTTGCATGATATCTACTTTATTGTTGTACTTTTAAACCTGGTGTATTTAATTCCAGCTCTTGTGTTTAACATTGTGTCATTACCCTTATGATGAAGATATAGTCATAGCTGTTCACTCCCCAACAGCTGTACGGGCCACAGCTGTAATACTTCAGCTTTCCATTAATTTGAACCCAAGGAGTGGTGCTGGATGGCCATTTGTCATTAGCATCCATATTTAAACAGAATATATCATCATTCATATTGACACCTGCAATGATCTGATCACCTCCAGCATCCACCTGTTTGAGAAGCCCTAACAACACAATCAACAGGTTGGATGAAATATTAATAGGGACCATAAACTGTAAGATGATGTCTTTGGGAAATTAAAGTTTAAAATTAAACATTTTAAAATTAAAACATGTAAATTCATGACTGGGTAAACTTGTCTTTTTTTCTTAATTTTGCTCTCTGTAACTCTTCACCTGGAAACTGAATGAAGGAACCACTCTGAAACTTGAAGATGTTGTTTGCTTTGGAGAGAGTGACTCCAGTTCTGCAATAGACAAAAATGATGGTTTCTTGAATACAGCATAATAATTCTTCATGAATTCATCACTTTTGTTCATATAACTTGTAATATTATGACTGCTCAGCTCACCTTTGGTATAAGTTCCCTTGAGAGTTGACACCAAAGACGCTGCCATCAGTTGCTACTTCAATCATGGACAGAAGTCCAGGAATATTCACGAAGCTGCCGGACCCAGAACAGACATTATTAGACACATCCTGCACAAGACCGAAAGAGATACAATGCAGTCAGTCATCATACAGTCACATCAAGAAACTTCTCTAGCATTTATCTGCTTCCACTCCAGTTTATTTCTTTATTTTTGATGTACACTTTGGTGCACTTGAACTTGTTCTCCAGCTCTTGTATTTAACATTGTGACATTACCCTTATGATGTAGATATTGTCATTGCTGTTCACTCCCCAACAGCTGTACGGGCCACAGCTGTAATACTTCAGCTTTCCATTAATATTAACCCAAGGAGTGGTGCTGGATGGCCATTTGTTGTTAGCGTCCATATTTAAACAGAATATGTCATCATGCATATTGACACCTGCAATGATCTGATCACCTCCAGCATCCACCTGTTTGAGAAGCCCTAACAACACAATCAACAGGTTCGATGAAAGATTAGTTTAAATGGAAAATCAACAATAAGATGATATATTTTGGACCATGGATTAAAAAAAAAAAAGACTTCAAATTAAGACACATTAATGTACATTAATGTCCTATTAAAGATATATTTTCTGTAATTTTGCTCACTGCAACTCTTCACCTGGAAACTGAATAAAGTTGCCACTCTGAAACTTGAAGATGTTGTTTGCTGTATTAACCCCCAGCTGACCAGCAGGACCAACACTGAAGTGCTTTAGAGACCCGCTGATCTTTGTGAAGACATTATCAATCAGGACAAATGCTTCATTAAGATTGTTCACTCCAACCACTGAGCCAGACCCAGCGTCTATCTGCTTCAGGTTACCGCTCATCACAGTAGTCGAAAGCTGTGAAAACATGGTGCAAAGTAATCAGTGATTGCAAATACAAAGATGTTTAAATAAATACGAATTAAATATATTTTATTTTTATATAAAAAGTAAACTAGCAAATGGTTTTTAAATGTATGTTATCAAAACACATCGTTTACCCAGAGTGTGTAGGAACTGGCAATTGAAGAGTGGCAGGACGCTCTGATAAACCTTCATTGCTCCACGATACAGTGTTATTTACAAATGGACGAGTCCCCAGAGTTGTTCGATTAAATTTAAGAGAGACTATTTGTTGTCTCAATGCTATCAGTCATCAACCAAGAACTGTTGTGTCAACCCCTTTAGTGTAGAGCAGCAGCAACAGCACAGGGTCCTGGGAGAATGATCAAGCAGACACAAAGAGCCAGTGTAGGCTACTACCATAACATAAGTTTATTCTCAGGGTTATATTTACATAGGATAGATTCATGCAAAATCAAACAGGATGTACTGCACATCCAAGTAGAGTATAAGCACTGTATGTTCCTGGTCAGGATTTTTATATTGCCTAAAACATCCAAAGTAATTTGACCAATAACATGCAGGTATTGTACATAATAGACCAATCATGGCATATCACATGTGAGAAGGTGAGAATGATCAAAGTGATGCAAATACATGTGCACATGTTTGTTTGTTCATTCGTTCGACTTGAAGCTGCGCACTGATCATTGCATGACACCAAAGTACCTCGAGAGCAATTTGAAAGCATAAGGAGCCTTCTGCTCTGCTCTCTAAACAATAACAAAATACAAAACTAAATAAAACAGCAATTTTCTGCATTTCTACAATAATATTTTATTATAATATATTTAGAATATTTTTTTTAGGAATAATTTGCATTGTGATGTAAACATGGACCAAGTCAGACATAAGGAAGTGGCTGAAAGAGCAAGAGGGAGACGTATGTATGGTGGAAGAAGAATAAGAGGAAGATCAAGAGCTGTAGTCTCAGATGAGATCAGGGCGACTATAATCGATCATGTAATAAATCATGGTCTTTCAATAAGAGAGGCTGGTCTGAGAGTACAGATAAATCTTCAATGCTCAACAGTGGCATCAATTGTTAGAGTTTTCCGGCAAACCAAAAGGTAAGTTGTATTCTGCAAGACCATCTCCTCCAAACCTTCTTGTGTGGTATTGCTTATGCATTTCTGCTTACTGCAGGACCCAACGTTTACCTCTCACTGATATGCAGGAAACGACAATGGTTGACATGGTCATCAGAAACAAGGCCATAAAACTCACAGAAATTCGAGACAGAGTATTGGCAGACAACATTACATTTGCAAATATTCACAGTGTAAGCATAACGACTATTTCAAGAGTCCTGAAGGTTTATGACCACCATCCTCATGATCAAATGTCCCTCCTTGACGCAATGAATGCAGGATGCCTGGACATATCAGCAGTAGATTGCCAGGAATGGATCAGGCATGCCAAAATATTCTTTCCTAGGTGTATTGCCCTAGATGACATACGATGTGATGTGGAGGAGAATCTGTGGCCAAATGCAGTACATAGAGTTGATTAGGATTCCTACCGGTGTATATACAAATTCTTGCATTTTGGAATAACTTCCAAAAACAAAAATACAAATATATATATATATATATATATATATATATATATATATACAGCATCATGTCTAATTTATTACAGTAACATATTTTGCTGTAAACAGTAGATCCTTAGTAGGTGTCCTTCTTTTACAGAAGAAAGCATTGTTTAATGCCACCTGTTGTTAGTGTTTTTTAGGTCTTTGTTTTATAGATGACCAAGTGTGTTTGTTAACTGACAACCTTTGCTAGTGTTATGAAAGAATGAGCCGGTCTCAGACATGTATGAAGTGTTTTGATAGCTGTTGTGCATTTTGAATGTGAAATGAACTGCTGTGCCAAGCTGAAAGTTGGTTAGGAGAACTGTGTAAAAAAAGTTTTGAAAAAGCTTTAGTATTGAGAAATGTGTCCTAGCGATTGTAAAAAACTGTAATTTGCTCAGTGTTCATTAAGGGCAATTTTGACCATATACATAAACTGAAATTAAATCTTTTTTATTTACATTTTGATTTAAAATGGTGACAAGTGTAATAACATTTCAATTGTTTCATGTCTGTAATACTCTTTCTCTGTTATTTTGAAAGATACATTTTATCTCTGAAATGAGGGTGGTTGATTGCGATTTCACTTTTTAAACATTAGTTAGTGTGTAATGTTGTTGTTTGAGCATAAACAATATCTGCTGTGTTATATTGCACAATAAGTTGTGGCGCTGAAAGTTAAAGGGGTCATATGATGCTTTTTTAAAGATCATTATTTTGTGTATTTGGTGTAACAGAATATGTTGACATGCTTTAATGTTCAAAAAACACATTATTTGTCAAATACTGTACATTATTGTAGGTCCTCTATGCCCCGCCTCTCTCAAACACTTAGTTTTCTACAAAGTCCCTCCTTTGACAAGCGCAGTCTGCTCTGATTGGCCAGCTGACCCAGTGCATTGTGATTGGCCGAACACCACAAGCACGCGTCGGAAATGTAACGCCCCTTACCATAATCGCGAGCTTCATCTTTCAAAATAAATGTAAAGACAGTAAATAATGTAATTAGTTTTACCATCAGTTCAAGCCAGAAAAGGGAACAGAGTCGCGTGACAGACACAGTGATGAAGCTGGTATATGTTTGCAGTACACAAGCCATGGTTAAGACAGCTGACTCTACTGTGATGTGACATGAGCCCTTTAAATGCAAACAGAGATAGTCTTTTAAAATTCTGGCAGTAGCATTTACAAATAACAGCGTATCTAAAAGTGTGAGACAACAACAAACAAAAAACAAAAAACATAGGACTACCATTAAAAGCCGTGCTTGCACAGGTTCTGCACGATCCTCTTCAATAATATCCTCTGCTTCTCAGTCGGGCTCAAACTGATAAGCAATATAGACAAAGGCATTTGTTTACAATACAACCGGAGCACATGTCGCTGAGGTGACGTTTAAAAAAGCGATCCATGCACTAGAGGCGATTTAGCCAATCACAACACACTGGGCTAGCTAACCAATCTGAGCCTATCACGTATTTCTGAGGGAGGGGCTTCATAAAAGCAGGAAATGATCAGCGTGTTTATGGGAGAAGGGACAGAGCGGTGTAGAATAAGTGATGTTTTATTAACAAATTTCGGGAGGAGCACGCGCAGATAATTAACACGGCCAGTCCATCATCAGTAATTACACCATCTATCCAATCAGCACAAGAGAGAACCTCTATAAATAATCAAAGCAGCCTTACCTTCATTATCTCTAGTCTTTCAGCATTGGCACATCCAATCGCCGCAAACATGTCAGAGATCGAACTTTTCCCAGACGACAACGTGTTCGACACCACGGGTCCTCCGGCGTCTCCAGTCACCGTTCAGCGCCCCAGCGCTCCGCAGGACACCATAATCGAGCCCGCGGCTGCAACATGGGGCCACCGGCCTTCCTGCGCCGCCGTCGCTCATACCTCCAGACACCGAGGCATGCCATCACCTTCGCCTTCCAGGCGTCAGCCACCTTCTCCAGCGTCCTCCTACGCTTCAGCCCTCTCCTCCGCCCCAGCTGTGGAAAAATGGACCGTGACCGGACTATGCCAGGCGCTCATTAGCTCCGGCGTCAACGTCCCACGACGGTCGGTCAAGGCGGATCTACTCGCCCTCTATACTTCCCTCCAAACAGGGGCGCCTCCAAGCTCTCCTCCTCCATCCAAGTCCGCGGATAAAGCGAGCCAGGGCCGCAGCGTTCCGTACTCACGGCCCCAGCTAACCACCACTCCTTCGAAGATGGGCTTCCAGCCGTTAGGCCGCAGCAAAAAGCCTTAAGCAAGCCTGGGCCGCGCCCCGGATGCCGCCAGCCCCAGACCCCCTCCTCCATCCACTGAGCGTCAGCTCGCATCCCATCTTGGCGAAGTGCCAGCTCCAATCTCCACAACCGGGGCCGCCCCCCGGATGCCGCCAGCCCCAGACCCCCTCCTCCATCCACTGAGCGTCAGCTCGCATCCCATCTTGGCGAAGTGCCAGCTCCAATCTCCACAAGCTGCCACGTCAGCGTGAGCACACCTCCGCTAGCGGCGCAGACCTGCCTGCAACCCTCGCCTCACACCACTCTGTACCCCCTTCCCTACCCATGGCCCGCAGCCCCACCGTCCATCTCCAGCGCGAGCGTGCCTCCGCTAATGGCGCAGGCCCCGACCCCCGCCATTCCCCCTCTCTTTTTTCCTCCTTTTTCTTCCGCTCCCGGAGCTGTCCCAAGCGCGAGCATGCCTCCGCTAATGACGCAGGCCCCAATGCCCATCATTCCCCCTCTCTTTCCCCCTTCCTATTCCGTCCCCGGAACTGCCCCAAGAGTGAGCGTGCCTCCGCAAGCGGTTCCGGCGACTACCTTTCCACTTCCCCTCGCTCACTCTTCCTTCTCACTTTCTTCCACCACGCCTCTACCCACCCCTCCGAACGCCCTCACCTTGGAACCACCCCCCGTGGCCAGCAACATCAGAACACAGATCTTGGCAGGTGCGGATGTAGATCTTTTTTCCCTTTTGTCACCAATTTCACCTTCGTCTGCAGATCGCCAAATCGACTGCGGCAGATTTTCTGTCACGTGAAAAACACGGCGCACAACCCATCACGTATTTTATCATTTGCTGAATTCACGATCGCTTTCACCCGTTACATAGAAGTCATCTGCAATGTTTTTCCTCACAGGAGACACAAGCTCGTCGATTATCTCGCGATAGTCACCGAACTCGCGTTATCATACAGCGGTTCTCACTTTTACGACTACCACAAATTATTCGCAGCTAAATGCGCCATCTGAGTGGCCCAGTGGAACCAATGTCCTTACTGGGAGGCTTTGAACACCAAACTCCATAACAGAGTATTTTTAGGCTGCCGCAACATATCTTGCGCGGTCTGCCAATCCGTCACCCACTCCACCATTACATGCCCTCTAATCAACCCATCTATTCCCCCCTGCTCCGAGCCATCCCAGCCCAAATCCACCAGCTATATCCCGCGTCTCCTAGACATCCCAACCACCCCCTTTCCCCCCACTTCCACCTAACGCCGCCGCTCAGCTCCCACTCATAGCCAGGTCTGCACCAGTTTTAATACTGGCAGATGCTCAAGGCAGCGCTGCCGTTTCATGCATGTTTGC